TCGGGGAACGAGATTGGGACTGGACTAGATTTCAAGACCGCGCAATTTGATCCAGTCCTTCCTTGGCTTCGCCTCGGGCTTGGTCAAATTGCGCGCTCTTGAAATCTAGTTCTCATAGTCGGATTTGAAATATGACTTACAGTAATCAATTACGTAATGCTCAGCCAAATTCTTGCGCTGAAATTGAGACCTCGTTTCTAAATGTGTCTGTCGATGAATTATAGACTTTTATAGACTGAGTTTGTATACAGACGAATTATCTGAAAAACCTGGAAAAACTATATCGTTAAAACAGATCGTGCAAAAAACAGAGTTGCATTGAGGTGGGTTTAATGTGGACACTCGACTCAACACTAATGTTGATGTTGTGCTGGTAAGTTGAAACAAGCATGCAACCATTGTGACAGTACTAGTAGAAGATGATTATCCGCGCATTGGAAAATACTGAGAAGAAAACAATATAAATAGAAAGTACAGCATTTCAAAGTACATTGAAAGTACAACATGTAGTACATTTCCTATAATGCTGGCAGCTGGCAATAGTAGCTTTTTGGGAACGGCGTTTCTGTAGCGATCGTAACATATACATTTGCTAGTAGTCGCCAGCCTGTATTGTTTGTTTGTGTGCGAGTACAATGTAATCAACCAGCTCAGATAAATGTTAAATACCAGTTGGTTGGAATTAGGATTAAAAAGCGGCCGATTTCGAGTGACAGAATATATCCATAATTGACGATTCCCCTTATTACGTTTTCGTAGCCTTTGCATTGTGGTTATAGTGGTATCACTGATATTCAAGATGGCTTATTTTTTATCCTGACCCGTGCAAGAACTTTAAAGAAAAGCGAGGGTCAGGTGCGCGATAGCCAACAGCAAAATATTCACGAAAACATTCAATATTTTCATTCGAGGCCGCTATCTTTATCAGTGATACCACTATAACCACAATGCAAAGCGCTACGAAAACGTAATAAGGGGAATCTAGAATTCACATTACTGTGAGGAAAGGCTAAACAATTTCTACAACTCTGGCAAAAAATAGTTCTTTTTAAAATGGCCCACATGCAGTCAAAATTCGCCTGGAAATCGCCTTGTCAACTGGCAATTCAAAAACTTGCAAATGACAATACTATATTGAAAACCAAAAATATTTTATTCATTTTAACAGATAAAGTTTTAACCTATATGCAATTTCGAACATGCTAAATAGAGAACATCTATTTCATTTTATAAGCAGTAACAATGCACTGTAGTGACACCGGTTGCTAATAAATACAGACAAGCAACAGTTCATTCAGACGAGACTCCAGTTATTGGGTTAGCTCGGTTCTTTTTTAGCTTCTCAACCGTAGCTTGGGCCCATTCTTCATTGATAGTCCTCGGAGCTTCAGCTGATACTAAATATAGATATATAAATTGATTAGCACTATAAAATAATGTTGATGGTTTTGTAGATTCTTGCCCGAGGGCCTATGTTGCATCGTTAGATCTAGTAAACGTATAAAATTTAAAAATGGCATCACCATAGTATACATATATGAACTTGTGGTTAGAGCTCGACAACTGGACTCTGTAGCTCAGTTGGTTAGAGCTTTTTTTTGTTTTTGGAATTGCTACTTTTTGGCAGGTAAATTATGTCACAAACGTGGCGCCAAAAAATTAAAATAAGCTATTGGTGATTTTACTGAATCCATTTGTAGAGCGGACCAAGGGTACTTTAATTAATTAAACTGAAATATGTTTCTCAATACAACCATTTTAAGGGAAGATATAGCGATACAAGTGTCGAAAAATCGGCCATACTGTTACTAAAAATAGAACAAAATGGCGGATTTTTAGAAATTTAAGTCGTTATATCTTCGCAAGGAATGGTTGATGAATGGTTGAAATCATGTAAAATTCAAGTTAAAATTTTGACATTTTCAGGTAAAATTTGCGTAATAAAGTAATTATTTTTGCGAAATGATAACCATTTTTGTAAAATACAGTCCATTTACATGCAATTTGTTTGCGAGTTTACTTTAGAAAACGCCGGAAATTCAGTCCTAGAGCTTCCCAAAATTTAGTATGAGAGTGCCAATCAATCACAAAAAGCTTTATTATAATTATTACACGTATAATCCTCCGACATCCCCCCTCCAAACGTCAGATGCTTTGCTACATACGTCCCTGATGGTTGTATTGGAAACCGATGTCAGTTTAAGATATCCTTAGTCTGCTCTTCCAAAAACAAAAAAAGCATACGATTTGTAAGAATGATATGTTCTGTGTTCATGGGATATTTAGTACAAACGGGATAAAAAGTAAAGAGATTGAAGCATACTGGCGATTTTGCATGCATTTTGACAGGCATGCAAAGACATTTGCAACAGATGCCAGGTGATACGTTGGCAATTTCATTCGATTCCGAATTCTGGGGGGGGGGGGGCATTGAAAATTTTAAAAAATTGAAGGGGGGGGCTTCCAAAATTTTCCAATAACCTCAACAGGGGCAAGACAAGACATCTTCATCCCCCCTCCCCCTCCCTCGGCGTAATAAATGTACTTTCCCTTAATGTTGCACCAAGGCCAGATTTTGGCGTAAATGTTGGGAGGTGAAAAAAATTTAATGGAGGTGCAGCGGTCTGTACCCAGCCTCCCTGGGATCATGGGATGTTAGTGTTTAAGACGTATGCTCTTCAAAGTCAACTACATGAGCTACAGTATATGCATGTAGCAATGTCTTTAAAAAATTGACTGAATGACTTCCTCATTTTTTCTCCTCGTTACAATACTAGAAAAACCATTTCGAAACATTGCAAATTAGATGAGTCATATACAGTCAAAAATTTGCAATTGACACAGATGATTACTTTTCAATTTTAAGGAAGAACAAGTGTGAAAAAGTCAACTGTTAAGTTTGAGTTACATTTCGACTTTCATCAAACGTTCTACTGTACCTTTCTCAAGCGGGGAGGGGGGGCATCTATTTTCAAGGAGAGGTGCGCACCTTCCTTCAAAATCTGGCTTCGCGAGGCGTTTTTCGCCGCAATTTGTAAAACGCAACTTCTGGCATAGGGAGTGTTCATATGAGCTGGGCAACCTCGCTTGACAAGTGTACTGGAAATACTTCTTGGTTTTGGCAAACAAAGGCATCCTTGACGTGAAATAAATGTGCAAGAACATTTTGTGCACATGAGCAACAAAAGTCGTCAAGGAAAAGGGAAACTTATCAAGGGAAACTTATCAAGGAAAACTTGTTGACCGTGAAAAACAGCCTTACATTTTACACGTTTAAAATTATAAAGAACTACTGTTGTTAAGAATCTCAACAAGCTGAACAAAAGTACAACAAGGTCAAGGATGGCTATTAATATCATATTAGTACATTAAAATGAGCAGAAATTAACAATTAAATCCCATGGAAGTTTTAGCACCATCCACACTATACTATGTACATACATGTATTATACTAATGTCATACCCAAGATCTAATACTACAATCATTAAAATGGGATCATAATGCAAATTGTATATTTAAAAATGTCACTCAAATGGTATGTATAGAAGAATACTAAAACACAACCTACCAAATTTTTTTAAAAACAAGAAAAATGTTATGGAGATTGCAAGCATTATAGATACAGCGCCGACGATGCCTTTAGTATGGGACTCCTCTTCGGCCATTGCTTCAATTGTGTAAGGAAATGAAGCACGATATACTAGAATAGAAAAGTTATAATTATTGAAGTTGATGTATTATTCTTGTTCAGTTATTGCTTCATCGTTTACAGGAAAGAAGCTCAATATACAGTACAACAACGATAATGCACCAGTCAATGTAAATCCCCGCCCCCAACCGGGGAGCGGGCAGGGATTTAGCGGGGAAAGTGGTCAGTTTTGATGGTAAATATGTCCCCGATGATGGGGGACTTGGACAACATTTTCTCTTTCGGTAGACGATGTGGGGATGAAAGCGGGGGAATGGATTCAGTGGTTAACATATATACACTGTGTTGCTGTTTTAGTTTTCTTTACAGTACAAGAAAAGTTTAAATACAATAACATAAATGAATTTGATTTTCTGTTGCTGATCTATGAAATATATACAAAACTATTTTCCCGGGGTTGAGAGACATGTGGGGACATTGATTAATTACACTTTCCCCGGGGGCGGGGACAATTTCACTCTTTTATTACCCCTCTAAGTCAAAATCCCCGCCCCTCCCCGGTTGGGGGGTGGGGCGGGGGCTTACATTGACTGGTGCATAAAGATTACGAATGGTTGACTGCTTCGATCTAAGCTCCAAATAATGTTTAATGATTATAATATTAATATTTTATATTTAACAAATATAAAACATTTTCCGTGTTGATATACAGTTATATCAACACGAGTGGAATTTGGGAAAACAAAAAATTGTGTGCAAATTTTGAGTTTTCCCAATTTCCACAAGTGTTGATATAACTGTATATCAATATGGAAAAAAAGTTTTATATTTGTTTTATAATATAGCACAAAGAAATATAAAAGAAATTTTCCGACATTTCCATGTTGACATCGAGTTATATCAACACGGCTCTTAGCCAATCAGCGTTCAGAATTTACAAATGCTATATTATAATTGTTAATTATAATTGTTAATTGTTTCCACACAATTTCTCATTTTCCCAATTTCCACTCGTCTTGATATAACTGTATATCAACACGGAAAATGTTTTATATTTGTTAAATGTAAAACTGCTGGCTCGCTTGCTTGTACTCTTCTGTGATCATACTTACTCTGTTAAATACAGCTTTAAATAACCCAGTACATGCTTCCTACTGCTTGAATTTCTCAATTGCTATCATACACATGTTTTCTAAACTTTACCAGACAGTATAAATTGCCGAAAAAAGGAGATAAGTTGTCTAGTCAAAACTTTCAATATTTTCAACATGCGAAAAATCAATATTGAAATATTGATAGTCATCGAAAAAATTCATTTGCACAAAATGGTAAAGGTCTGGTACCCTGGTTCCAGAGGCTCTTTGCGAGGCGAAAGAAACAAGAGCGGAGAGGCTCTGGTCACATTGATTGCAAATCCCACTTCCACACCTGATTATCTCTCATGCGAATGGCCATTTGTAAAAATATGTCAAACCAGTTTGGGAAAAAATTAAGCTAATTATAGCCAGCATGGCCGGCTCTTTTATAAGTAGAGCCTGCCCGAAAGCCCTAGTAAAATTGATACCGCCTACTTAGTTAATATTCCATATTAACACCGCCCACTCGAAATAGTTTTGTATAAATGATGACTTGAAATGTCAATTGTTGCATATTTACTATAGGCTGTGCTACATGCTTTCAATAAACTTTTTACAATAGATGGATAGTGATTCAACTACCTGGAAATACAAGCAAAACCTCTGCATTTTGACGGAAGGCCCTTCGACTTTGTCTGGAAATTAATAGTAGACGAAGACCATTCAAAATTATATTATGCTTTGCACCTGTATGGCTGTACTACAGTTTATATAAATATTGCAGTATTAAATATAATAAATGATTTAGGAAAAGTAAATAGACCCCTTCCCGTGTTATACACGTTGGCAGGCAAATGTATTTTAAAAGCTCCAAAGAAAGCTTCGTATTATTATGGTGTATTACACAATGGGGAATGTATTATTTTATATAATCGTAATTTGCCAGCCAGAAAAATATAAACAAGGCAAGGACAGCCAAGGTTTTATACTCTATACTATAGTGACCATACGGTAAAATCTTACAACATATGCAGTAATAGCAGTATGGCTTGCCTTAAGTATTCTCTTTAGATACCGGTATATGTTATACATTTTACACTTTGTCTTTTGAATTTTATATTTTAGCAGACATGTTTACCTCCCCCCCCTTGACGAGTAAAATCGTCTGGCGTTAGACAGAGTAAAATACTAAAGTAGGGTGCATCAGGATGCAATGAAAACTCAATGGGTTAACTAGACACATGGGCAGATAGGCCAGTTAACCCATTAAGCACCAGCGCTCTCCCCTTGACGAGTAAAATCGTCTGGCATTAGACAGAGTAAAATACTAAAGTAGGGTGCATCAGGCTGCAATGCGACTCAATGGGTTAACTAGACACATGGGCAGATAGGCCAGTTAACCCATTAAGCGCCAGCGCTCTCCCCTTGATGAGTAAAATCATCTGGCGTTAGACAGAGTAAAATACTAAAGTAGGGTGCATCAGGGTGCAATGCGACTCAATGGGTTAATATAGCGATGCCGTTTGTTTTTACTGTATTTATTTTAAATATTTGAATAAATTAGCGTAACATGTCAATCAACCTGTGGTCAACGTAAATTCAGCCACTGGGTTGTTCCAGAAAAGATCCATACTCCCCCCACGGAGGAAATTTCTGCCGTCCGGAGAGGGAGGGGAGAAAAAATTGTTTCTGATAGGACATCCGAAGGGGGTAGGGGGGTTAACTTCCTATTTCCTCCGTGGGGGTGGTATGGATGTTTTCTGGAATGACCCAATCACAATTCTCGGCAGCTGGCTGCCGAGAGTGATCAATTTTACTAGGGCTTCCGGGCAGGCTCTCCTTCAATTATCTGCCTTATAAAAGAGCCGGCCACACTGGCTAAGCTAATTATAGATATATAATACAGGCTATAATTAGCTTACATTATTATACAGGCTATAATTAGCTTACAGCATAGCTCACAGTAATGTTTATTTCCCAAACTGGTTTGACATATTTTTACAAATGGCCAATCACATGCGAGATTCAAATTCTGAACCTAATCAAGTGTAACCAGAGTATCAGGCTCTATTTTACAAATAATAGCCTGACACAAACCTTAATCCGATCGCTTTCCACCCACAGCAAAATTTATATTTAGTATCCAATCAAAATGTCGCAGGAGAAATTTAAATTTCACACAATGACAACAACAAATTAAATAATAGTTGTGATTACTATAAAATATATCAACAACAATAGTATAATCTAATTAGCACCAACCAATCAAATGACAGATTAAAAAATCTTTTACCACATAGACCAATCAGATTTACAACCGAAATACAGTTGTATGGCATGGGCTTTTGTTAAGGTTTGTATCAGGCTTATTTATTTTATTTATATATAGGCCCGATATTTGCAGGTTAAATCAAGTGTGGAAGTGGGATTTGCAAGATCGATGTGACCAGAGGCTCTCCGTTCTTGCCCCTTGTTTCTTTTGCCTCACAAAGAACCTCTGGAAGCAGGGTAGCAGTCTGGGGATGATTGTATAATCGCTGGATAATCCAGTGGGGAAAGTTTGCATCACGCAGCGGAGATATTGGCTGTGCAATTTTGATGCGTTCTATATATTTTATACTTATTAAATTTTCGAAATCTCCGGCACACAATTTCCAAACTTTCCAGTCAGGTGGATAGTGATTTTCAATTACAACAAATGAAAAATCACTATCCAGTAGATAGCACTATCCAGCCTTCGTATAAACAAGCCTGAAGCCTCTATAAACTCTTTAAAGACACACTATCACACGGTATACTTAAAACTTACTTGCTATTTTATCTTCTTTACTAAGCTCAGTCCATGGCTTCTTGGCTTTTTCCACAAGAGCCTCTGCGATATCATTTCTTTCCATTTCCACTGGGCTGTAATGTTCGAGTTTTGGGACAGGAGATATAGCCACCTCGGTTGCAAACGCACGTCGAGTAAACTTAGACAATAAACCGGTTCGAAGAAGGAATCTTGACGCCGACATTGTACGTCTTTCGTGCTAAATTTGGCCAATATTTTACACAAAACAAAAATTTTTTTTTTCCAATATGGCCGCTGGAAGTGAAATGCTTTGTAACCGAGCCTTCGAGACAAGGCATAATTAGCTTCCACTTTCTTTATAATATAATTCAAAATCCGACGTTTTTTATGCTAATGTCATGTTTAGGAATTGAAATTCGCAACATTTTGGGCCTTTTATGATAATGAATGTAAGATGGTCTTGATTCATGAAGGGTCCTCTAAATTGCAATTCCCAGCCCTTTTTTAAAAATCAAACCCCAGTCCCACAGTCTCCCACTGTGAAATTGAAAAAAAATCCCAGAGGTGATTCACCAATTTCACCTATGACTCACCTATTGCTCTCTTTAATTAAAACTAGTCTGCCGTATATGACTGACTGGCAATAGCAGAAAAAACGACCTCAATGAGCGTTATGAGCCACAAGTCAGTTCAACTCAGTTGCCCTAGACTTTTTAGACAAATTCTCTACCAAAAATTGCTCTGTAACTGTTCTTATACTTCTTAGAGTTTTTTCATTCTGAAATGTCCAACCACAACTGTCCTTGCTTAATATAACGTCACTAACGTGAATACGTGATACAGGTTTTCACATTCCCAGTAACGGCCGGCCTACACTGATAGGCACTAAATTTTGAGACTTACTGCAATCAAAAAAGGATTATGTAAATGCATTTTTCTGCCAATTTTTACGATAAAATGAAAACTTTCGACAAAGAAACTGAAAGGAAAAAAAAGAAGGGCAAAGTAAATTGTAAATGCCCGCAAAGTTGTCCCAAAATTTTAAAATGCTTATTTCAAAGTGGAAGACTCGGAGGGGAAATTACGATCATTCGGCGATACTTTCCGACAATAGAACGATCAAAACTCAAAACAATACGATATTTATTTATGGATGAGGAGTTTTCCTTGACGATTTACATGATATTTATTCTTTTTGCGGTATATTTAGAAAATGTCTGGAATTGTATATACATATAAACCCTAATGGAAGTTCTAGAGGACAAATTAAGCCAGGAAACGCGACGAAATTATGCCGTAAATACAGCGAAATCTGCGATACAATCTCAGCCAAACTATCTCCCATGGCAACGGACGTCAAGACCAACAGGTAGTGGATTATCCAGGCTTTCAAGTACTGTGCCATCACAAACTTGTAAAACGGACCCAGAAAGTCGACCATTCAGTGTTGCAACTGTCCGCACAGCTTGTAGTTCAAAATGTCAACACAGCTGGAATAAAAAATGTGTTGTGCCGCCAATCAATGTCGAGGAAGAGAAAAAGAGACGCAGGCTTTTAACAGCTTTGAAGGTATAATTCTCCAACCGGTTACGGCCTATCTACATGACATGACTAGTTGTATACGATTCTTATCCTGGTGTGTGTTCTCAAATAAATGTGTGTGAAGATGTCACATGTCGAGTTTCGCCATATGGCCAAAAAAAATACCAGTGGTTCTGGTAATCCGGTTTCATATCGTGAAAAAATTAGCCGGGTCGGTAGGTCGGAAATAAATTTTTTTTTTGAATATTTTTTCATGGTTTTGGCGTTTTTTTGCTGGGCGATTTTCAGTAGAGTCCCGACATCAAATATATTAACTAGAGATGCGTATTTCCTATGGACCAATTTAGGCAATTTGGTTCAATAATTAGTGTGATAACAGATGCCATTTTGGCGCTGTATATACAGCCCACAACCACCAGGAGAAATAGGGTTGCATGGTCAAATCGTTGAAAAAATAGTAGAATTAGGCAGAAAATTTAAATAGAATTAGATCGAGAACGGAACCTGCATGCAGGTATTTTTAAGGCCTAAAATGATGAACAGGATAGTGGCGTCAGCTGTCATTTCATGCACAGAATGACAATCATATACAACTAGTTGTGTGAATACGTGTGAATGGGCCTTTAAGCCACATTTAAGAGTTACCAGGGCTTTCAGAAGTAGGTGTCTGTTTTGATAAAGTAGGTGGCTGTTGCGAGGGGGCAGAGATTAACTAAGGAGACATTAACTAGTGAGTATTGATTAGATAGCAACACAAATGAGCTCTATAACCAAATTATAATGTATCATTACTTTCATTCTTCAACAAGTTAATTTCAGGATTTAAGATGGCAAATAACTAAATCGGTATGTCGTTTTCGAAAATAACCAGGCTATAAAGTATATGGTAGACCAAGTTGAGGAAAAATAACTTTGTTTGAAAGCTTAGAGTGGAGGAAGGACAGCAGTACCATAAGGATAATTCAAGTACTAAACAAAGTAACCGGTATAAATAGTAGTGATTGACCGATAATTGATATTGAGCTGATCTGGCCTTATTGGTAGATCTTGGGACAGTTGGGGCGGGATCTCTCTTAGGCGGGCCAGCTTGGTCCCCATGTAATAACAAAGGTGTGATATCACCTAAACCAGGCCACTCTGCTTGGGTACCTGGCTGGCTTGTCACCTGTAAACAGCTCCTATAAGAGTATTGAGGAAAAATTGTTATTTTATTTTTGTCATGGTTGAATTGTTTTAGATGCAGATAAAAATGAAAGAATTGTCACTATGTGAATATAAAAAAGTGTTTCAAAAACTGTATCTTTTTTTGCTCTCTGAAATTATTTCTATCATATATGGTAGAATATATTAATATAAAATTACACTGTCAGATTAGTATATATCATTTATTATATGGATTTTCAAAATTCTCTATTCTGATTGGTTGACAAGTGGTCCGTAAAAACCCATATACGTGGTTCGACGTATTTTCCGTATCTGTCCCGGTGTCCCGGATGTCGTTTTCAATTTTCCAATTGTGTGTCATTAAAATTTACAGATAAAAATTTCAAACAACCAAATTGTTTTTGATTGAGCATGCATGCCTACCATATATTGTTACCCAGTGAAACTGACAATAACCGATTTAATTTGCGCAAAAAGCATATGCTCAGACTCAGTTCAGCCATATAATAAACCAAATATTGACCTCGCTTGTTCAATCTGTACTGTGAAATATTAGACTTCTGTTTTTTGCATGGACCTCACTCCTTCGTCGCTCGGTCCATACTAAAAAACCTCGGTCTGATATTTCACAGTACAGACCTCACGCTCGATCAATAAGCCGTTAATATTCTGCAAAACACCGCTTTCAGCTCCCCTTTTACAATTAATATTTATATGGCATCATAGGGCCCCTTTGGACTGTTTTGGTGCAGTCTGCGCTTCACGTTGCATTATTAATACTTCATTTTATCGCCGTGCCAGGGTTCTCCACAGTTGTGAGTGGAACAGGTAAAACAGGTGTTTCAACAGGTATAAGTGTCAAGTCGCACCTACAAACCTCCAGGGGGTCCCATGTTGTTTTTTTTTTTGGGGGGGGGGCAAGGGCAGTACTTCTCTAACAAACCCCAATGAGGAAAAAAAATTTCTGGACGACAACATTTTAAATCTCTCTTTCCCGATTTTCGTAGCACTTTTTCCAATGAACATGGCAATATTTGCATAACTGGACTGAATCGTCGAGCTGGCTACGCCACTGTGGATTGATTATAGGATTTTTGCACACCGTTCTCATTATCAGGCGGTAATCAGTGTTCGTGGAAACGGTAAATTTTACCGGTTACCGCCTGATAAGGAGAACCCTGCGTGCAAAGTTTGTTGGACTCGCAACATGATTTATCACAAAACTAGAGAAGCAAATAAACTAGAGGTTATTGGCTTATTGTGGAAATGTCTTCGAATTACATTATTTATATTCTAACTACTAGTTCATGTATTTTAATAACTGCTTTTCTGTTCTTCATTACTCCATTCCTCGGAATGTACCAGCAAAACATTTTATGGTCCTTTTTGACGGGGGGCCCTGGGCAAGTACCAGGATTATTATGTCACTATAGATTCCTGCCAGGGAGGCCAATAGACAATTCCCATTATAGACTAATTTTAAAACTAGGCAAGGAGATGCAAATAAATCACCACAGCTAGAAAGAGCATACTAAAATTAGTAAAATTACAAAATTTGGTTGCGAAATGTTGTAAAATGTGGAAATATAGCCTTGCAAAGTTTTCAAATTTTGTATACTTTTGTATTACGTGCGACCATTTTCGGCCTAAATGTGGTAGGAATGTGGTAGGAATTTCCGCAAGCAATACAAAAGTATACAAAACTTGCGAACTTTGCAAGGCTATATTTTCCTCATTTTACAACATTTCGCAACCAAACTTTGTAATTTTACTAATTTTAGTATGCTCTTTCTAGTTGTGGTGATTTATTAGAGTTTCCTTGCCTAATTTTAAAATTAGTCTGATGGGAATTGTCTATTAGTTGCATTTTTCGTAGCTGCTCCTGGTAATACCTAGTTTCGATATGGTCGTAACGGTCGTAAAGATTGAGTCACGATCTTTCTCATCAGCCGAAATACAACATTTCAGAACTGAAAATACGTGGAGTGATTATAACTAGAGAATCTTATGATATATGTGGTTTACAGGTATAAACAATTATAAACTGGCTGTTGAGAAAGATTGTGACCATTACGACCGTGGAAACCAGGCATTAGGTGTAAAATTTACACTGTCTCGAAATTGTCGGTTTAATTGCTGGGATCCGATGTCTGGACCCATCCACGGCGTATAATATAATATATTTTTATAATACAATAATTAAAAATAGATATCCTTAACGTTGTGTGAAATAGACTTGCAGAAAATAGTAAAATTAAACAAGAAATTGCTGAATCAGAAGAAAAAAATGTAAGTATTAGACTTACTGTTACGTTAGAGCATTGGACTAATGACTATAGCAATTAGCATTTCGCATGCCGCCATTTTTGGGTGGCTTTTCAGCCGAAGTCTGCGAGATAAGTCCACATAACAGTGACTTTTTATAATTTTTTTGACGAATGATGGTAAACAGTTTGCTTTGTAAATGGTTAGTTTATTTTGAAAAATTGCTTTTCACATTGTTTTAATTGTCTGCATTGGTTAACGAGAAATAGATGCCACCCAAAAATGGCGGATACTGCGTCATCGTGAGAAAGGTTAATTGAATCCAAAGGTCGCGGGTTCGATTCCCACCGCGGTCGAGAAAACGTTTCAGCTTGTCCAGTATCTACTCAGAAATAACATCACAAACACATACGCGCAGAAACACTTGTCAGTCCGACTGTTTGTACTGTAGGAATAGATCGCTCAACTGGCTAACGACTAAAAGGGGTTAGGGTAAAACGCGGATGCGGATGGATGGACGACAGGCGGACGGACGGAAGGGTAAAATGCGGACGGACGGATGGGAGGGTGAATGTCAAAGCTATATATTTACCCAACCTTTTATATACTTTAAAATTTTACTTTATTTTTGTTTTTAGCATTCAGAATCAAAATCGCTGTTACAACGTTATGAAAGGTTTCGGGTAGGTTGATGTGTAATATCATCGGCAGCGTGTTAGAACCGTGTGCACTGATCATCATGTGATTACTATACACGCAAAAATCACACATCTTGTAGCAAGTCTGCCAACAAGCAGTCAACAAGTTGTGTTCGCACTGCTTGTTCCAATTTGTCAACAAGTTTGGAACAAGCTATTAACAACTTGTATAACAACCTTTGTTGATATAATACTATTATTTGTGGAAACACCACGTAAATTTATTATTGCAAAGCTTTCGATCCGTAAGCCCGGATCTTCATCAATGCTAATAACCTTGTTGATATTATCAGACTTGTTGCAAGGTTGTTCCAACGAGTCCGATACAGTCATGATATAACAATATTGTTACAACCTTTTGTCGTCAATCATGTAACATTCTTGTTATATCATGACTGTATCAAACTTGTTAGAACAAGTGAACAACCTTGTAACAAGTCATATAATGCCATCAAGCTTGTTATTACAGTTGTTAACAGCTTGTTCCAAGCTTGTCACAACAACTAGGAACAAGTAGTGCCGCGAACACAACTTGTCGACATTCGACAAATTTGTAACAACTTGTTTGCAGACCTGTAACAATTAACTTCTGCATTTTACATGTTTTAGGGAGCTATTGGTAGTTTACAAAAACAGTATCAATATCAGTCAACAGAATATCTTGAAGATTACGGAATAACCGAGGGACGAATTCTTAAGGAGGTTCAAGGTAGAGGATTGACAGATTTGGTTGAATTGACGGTTCATAATAAAATGACCAGAATCTAATGCTAATTAGATGATAGTATTGTTCATGATACATTTAATAGTTTTATCTATAATTAGATACTTGTTGTTTTTGGGTGAAAGTGACATTTCTCCTGGGACAGTTGAGTTGCATGATAGTAATTGGATAGTAAATATAAAACTTACTTCGGGTGGAGAACGAACATTTGTCAAAAATAGAGCCGGCATGATACTCAGGCTAGTTCTGGCGTGAATCTTTGACGTATGTCAGGTGCACTTTGAGAACATTTAATCTGATTGCCCAATCACGTTTAAATTGAAAACTGCAAGCCATGTATAACCTTTTCAACTGCCAATTTTTCTTTCAATATTTCACTAGAGCTCCAAAGGCAGGCAGACCAGATAGATGTTGCTGTATGTACGAAAAATAATGAAGTAAAAACGTTAGTGAACTATAAGGTACGAACTGATTTGATGCAATGGATGCATGCAGGGCATATGTTAAGTGGTACAATCATTAGTGTTTAATATTTAGATTTAAATAACTTTCTGCGGTCATGGTCATATAGACTGCAGATTACAGAAGTTAGGGAGACATCGCCTGTATTATGAAAGCTCACTCACACTCAAAGAGTGTACTATACAGTATACTAGGTTTAATCTGAGCTTCTCTTGGGTGTCAGTGCTATTTTTGAATAGCTAGAGGGTGAGTATAGTCACAGAGTAAGTTACGACACTAACCCCTCAGCAATTCAAAAACAGCATTGACATTCAAGAGAAGCTCAGATTGAAACTCTACTTTTTGAGTGCGAGTGTGCTTTTAGAATACAGGCGATAGAGTGAATATCGAGTGAACTCGATTCAATGATAGTTGACCGATCTTGTAGATGGAAATTGTCAAGTGGAAATTTATATACATTTATTAGACCTACCAAGGAACAGCTGCGAAAAATGCAACTTGAGGTCCCTGGCAGGAATCGAACGCGATTCTGGTATACTCGATAATTCCCATCTACAAGACCCTTCAGACACAGAGTGACGCTTTCTCCATAGTATAAGGGTGTACCTCCAAATTCAAAACTTCAAAACTTGGACCCCATGGTTAAACTTTAAGCTCTCTAATCCTTGCTATATTGAGACTCGACATTTATTTTTGTATAGGAGAAAGAATATCCTGGAAAGATACAGGCTATAGCAAAGTTAAAACGACAACGAGAAAGGCTTCGAATCGCACATCAGGTATTACGCCTGTATTCTAAAACCTCACTCATGCTCACACTCAAAGAGTGGAGGTTCAATTTGAACTTCCCTTGAGTGTCAATGCTGTTTTTGAATAGCTGGAGGGTTAGTGTCGTACCTTACTATGTGACTACTCACCCTCCAGCTATTCAAAAACAGCATTGACACTCAAGGGAAGCTCAAATTGAACCTCCACTCTTTAAGTGTGAGCGTGAGTGACCTTTTAGAATACAGGCGTAAGAGGGCAGCCCATGTTCTTAATTACTACATGCATAACCTACATATCGTATACGAACGCGCAAGTTGTTACAATTTGCAAACAAGTCGCAACAAAGTTTTTGTCAAGCCGATATCAGGATGTGTTCGCAAATGCTTGTTACCAGTTGTTGTGACAAGTCTGGAACAAGCTGCTATCACCCTGTTACAAGGTTGATGACGGCAACAGACTTGCTACAAATTGTCCCAACAAGATTAATACAGGTTGTTCGTAACAAGTTGCCACGAGGTTGTTGCCACTTGTTCAACAACTTGTTACAGTATGTGCAGACGATATCAAACTTGTTGTGAGTTTGCGTGGCCTCATCAACCTTGTTAGAAGATGATAACGACTTGTTCCAGACTTGTCAACAACATGTTACTCGAACCGTCCTGACCGCGTAGCTCAGTTGGCAGAGCGTTGGGCTAGTATTCCAAAGGTCGTAGGTTCGATTCCCACCGTGGCCGGGCATATTTTTCAAGCTCGCCCGGTGTGGATATACACTCAGAGTAACATCTCAAACATCATATTCACCTGAGTACACAATACCAACACAGAAAAAATCATATTACTAGATTACATTGGTATCGAAGGAACTAGATTCTGTTCCGAAATATCACTTACTCAAACCGTCCTGACCGCGTAGCTCAGTTGGCAGAGCATTGGGCTAGTATTCCAAAGGTCGTAGGTTCGATTCCCACCGTGGCCAGGCATATTTTTCAAGCTCGCCCGGTGTGGATATACACTCAGAGTAACATCACAAACATCATATTCACCTGAGTACACAACACCAACACAGAAAAAACTGGGAACAAGCAGTGCATGACATCTTTTTACGCGTGTACATTTCTGTTCTCATCCAGAATGAATTAGAAGAACTATTAACTACAATCAACGAAGACACAGCAACAAGCCTTGCGAAGGAAGAACTTCTCAACAACAACGTACGAGATCTTTTTACTGAGGTGAGTGTATAAAAACAAAGGCGCAGACTAGCTTTCTTTTCAGTGGTGTTACAAAGCTGGGAATAAAGTGCCTTAATTGTTTTCTTATATACTACAGGAAGCCATTCTCTCAATGAATGATCAAACTAAAGAAGTAGCTCTTCAAAATATGATCATGAAAAAGGTATAACGTTTGTACGTACAGTTATTGGACAGGTGTACATTTTGAAGGCTTACATTTCGCTATTGCAAACCCCTATAATAAGCGGACACTCCTTTTAAGCATGACACGTTGGCTTAAGAGGGATTCGACTTGCAGCAAAATCTTCTATAACAATTAGATTGATATAAAATCGAAGACAGTACTGTAGTCTTGAATTAACTTAAGTACTATACAAGTCAGTTTTATCAGTTAAATTAGGCAATGTAAAATTTCATAGTTATTGCGTTATCGCATTATAAAATTGGTTAATTTTCTGTAAATTCTAGGAAATTGAGATTCACAAAGACGAAGTAAAACAGTTGAAAAGTGATATCTCGCAGCTTCAAGCTAAAATCCTGTAAGTAATTTTAATATGTATATATATACACTTTGGAGGTGAGCTCCAAAATGTGACATCAAATTTCAGTGAGAGATGGTATCCAGGCACTTATTAACAATTATTGAATGAGGTTGAGCACGATATGAAGAATTATCAAGCCCGAAGTTTGCCGTTATCAACCGAAGCCGTAGGCTGAGTTTGATAACGGCCAACTGAGGGCTTGATAATTCTTCATACTGTATTATGCGAAAACCGAATAATAATTAACAATTATTCGCCGAAGGCGAGGTGATTATCGGTGAATAAAAACCGAGACGAAGTCGAGGTTTTTATTCACGATAATCACCGAGCCTGAGGTGAATAATTGTTTTAGTATAATTTCATAGGTGATTATTTGGAAAAAAATAAAAAAAATGCACATTTCTTCGTCTTTTAATTGACAAAACGGCTTCGGCCGCCATTTTGAAAATCGCTTAGGTGATTATCGCGTAATAATCACCTCAACGGTAACCAATCAGCGTGGAGAATTTTCAATAATCACCTATGTAATTATACTAAAGTGAATTATACAATGGCTTAAAAATTTCGCAGATATGAATAAAACCGACAACACAAAGCAAGTACGGCATGGAATTTTACTACTGAAATGTTTACACTTACACCCAAACCGGCACAACAACGATTAAATTATCAAAGACATCAACTTTTTAACGAAATTTAAAACAAAAAATTGCTGTAAAACAGCAAAATACGTCCTTTCAAAATGAAAATTAAACAATTACTTCGACAGACTTTGTACTCGCGTATGCGCATAACGTCGAAAAGCGAACGAAAACCATCCATGACATAAACAAAATGGAGGACAACTTTGCACTCCGCTATGTTTTCACATACCCGGGTATAATTAGCCGTGCGGAATTAGTACCCTCGCACGGCGCTTCGCGCCGCCGGCTCGGGGATTAATTTAGGTTGTCAGAAAAAAGGTTTTCCAAACCAACAACCTGTGTTTGTTTCTTGTAGTTTTACTGATCCAGTAACCAAAAAGACAGTCTCTGCGCAAGTTGCCTTACAAGTATTGGTCCGACCTGGTTCTTACGAAATTGGAAAAACTACTGTTGAGCGGGCTCAACCATTCGATGCTAATTTTAGCGATGATGAATTGGAATGGTCAACTAAAGAACGAGGAGCTATAGTTGTGACAGGACTGTTGGTGAAAATACAAGGATGAACACCTCAATTTGATCAACTTTTAATATTAACATGCAGTACGTGTCCCGAAATAATGACACAAGAATAAGATTAAGTGTTAAAATTAGAGTTATAGGAAAGTACATGTGTAGGAAAAATTAGACTTAGCGTTGCATTATAGGGTTACATTATTATGCTCTGACCATAATTAGTTTAATAACCACAGCTATAGATTTCTGGTGGATCCCAAAACTTTTAATTTCTGTTTCAATGTCCAATTATTGTTCATCAAGAGAGAAATCCTTAGTTTATCATATCTTGACAGTAGTCGGTATTCTACTGTACCAAGGCGGCCAAAAATCAAGAGCCCATATCACTTATTACTTTTCTCAAAGCTTTATATTTTACCACTTCAGTGTGTACGACAAATTTCCCTTGTTGCAATTTTGTTACAAATTTCAAATATTATACTATAGTCTTGTTTTGTTATTTTTTGTTTTAAAAGGGTGACACCAGACGGAAGAGTTGTAACATATCAAACCCACACTATAATGCACCCTTCTGGAAAGTATTTAACCTTGGCCATAGATTCGGTTTTCGGGATCGAGGTATCGGCTTCAGGCCCTCTATTTTGTTACCGATAATTTAATACACCATTTCGATAATTACGTCACAACTACATGCACTGTTTGTACAGAGAAGCAGAACATCCTTCTTCAACACATGCTGTCATGCATGAAAAAGAATTCTTTATTTTGACTAATAAATGTGGAAGTAAGCTTTAACACGAAAACGAGTTAATGATTATTTCCATACTTATTGATCAAAATCCAATTTTTTTTTCGCGCATGTGTTGAAGAAGGATGTTCTGCTTCTCTGTGCATAGCCCATGAGAAAAAAACCCTTGAAATCCTTTCCATTTAAGGTGGTCCTAAGTTGAAAACAGTGTAGTTATGATGTAATTATTGAAAGGGTGTATTATATAAAGGTATTTTCTATTATCTATATGTACCTGTATGATCTCATAAATATGTCACCTCTCTAAATCCAATATCTCATCACGAAAACGAGGCTCTATAGCCGAGACTAAGTACTTTCCGGAAAGGTGTATTGGACTTTAAAACGGAAATTAGGCAAATATAACAACAATCAATTGTTATCTTATGTTTTAAAAAGTTTTAGTATGCAAGACCCTGTATATATTTGTAACAGTGTAGTAGATTACCTAATATTCTAATAATTACTGATATTAACATAGCTCTAACTTCCGAAAACAAAAATCGATAGTCTTTAATCTAACTAAAATTCTAATAATTACCGATATTAATCTAACTAAAATTCTAATAATTACTGATATTAATCTAATAAGCTAAGCTTTGTAATCCCCAAAATGTATCACAGTAATTAATATATGTTACAGTAATTCTAGATCTGACTTACATGTTGTTATTGGAGTTACCACAATCAGCAGGGCCGCCAAGAGAATTCGTGCGGCCCGGCCGGGCAAATCTTCTCTGGGGTCCCTATGACATAATTATTTTTAAGCTAGCCTAGACCCAAGTCAGTCACCCAACTAGACCTTAGCTAGAGTGCATGTGGAGCTACTGTAAGGGGACCTCAATTTCAAAAATGTTCTGACCAGTTTAAAGAACCTACTCAATTTTAGGCTCTCACTCTCAAGTTGGGGCCCTATTAAGGTGAGGACCTGGGGCAATTTGCCCCCTCTCCTGCTCGGCAGCCCTGACAATCAGTATACTTATTAGTTTTGATCCAATTAGCCTTTCTCACGATGACGAATATCCGCCGCCATTTTTGGGTGGCATCCAATTCTCGTTAACCAATGCAGGCAATTAAACAATGTGGAAGGCAATTTTTCAAAATAAACTAACCATTTACAAAGCAAATTTACCATCATTCGTCCAAAAAAATATAAAAAGTCGCTGTTATATTATGTGTTCTTATCTCGCAGACTTCGGCTGAAAAGGGAAATTGCTAGATAGTATACTTCAAAATAAGGTTTCCGTTTTATATCAATTTTTTAAATAAGTTAGGGTTAGGTTAGGGTTATGGTTAGTTTAGGGTTGGGGTTAGGGTTAAGGTTAGTATTAGGGTTAGGGTTTAGTTTTGCGTTCGGATGGTTTTTTCTACGTTATAAAAACGGAAACCTTATTTTGAAGTATACTATCTAGCAATTACCGGCTGAAAAGCCACCCAAATTAAAAATGGTGGCGCGTGAGAAAGGCTAATTGATCAAAATGAGTTTTGACAACACCTCGTGGAATATTCCAACTCAAATCTCAAGGGGAAATAATTGCATTGACTGAAAGGTTTTGGTAAACACTCGCAGCAACAATATATGCAACATATATAAAATAGCCAGCTTTGTAGTTTTAATAAATTTAATTTAGCACATTGTGTGACGTCATTTAAAACGATCTACTATAGGTTTTAATAGCTATGGGGGATACTGCAAATTAGCTAGTTACCCGTCCACCCCGTATCTCCAAGAAATGACCATAAATTACTTTCCATTATCTATTGTCTCTGCTATTTTGAACTAGCATTTATATTTGCAATATCCTCCATCTGGCTAAAGGGGTTTGCCTCAATTGCCTGCAGTATATACTATAGGCATAGTATATAGCTGCACGTACACGCTACAATAAACTAAAATCTCCATGAAAAATAAACTTTCAGAATTTGGATAAAAGTCTCATGCTATTATTATTAAATAACTGCAAAAATTGTTAACTAAAGGTGCTATTTCATATTTGTTAGTTAAGACATAGTTCTAAACTACTATATTGTTAACACTACGTGCTACTTCTCAAATTCATTAAAGGTGAGTACAGTCCGTATGTAAACAAAGCCTTTGTTTACATTTTTGTGTCCAAAATATTGAGCTTAATTTATTCGACAACTATTTATATTTTCAAGCTTCTAGAGTATAATAAATGATCAAGAAACAACAATCAGGCTTTTCAAGAACTCAAAACATAGTTAAACTGTTTGTATCATAAAAAGTGGGCTCATTTGTGCACATGCGCAGATTGGACTGTAGATCACCTTTAATAATTCATGAGTATTTCAGCCAATGATAATCACCTATTTGATCACAAGATGCCATTTGGATACTTGATGAAAGTCACTAGTGTTTTCATCAAATATCTTAATTACGCATGCAAAATTACTTGAATAGAATTCCTAATTACGTTATGCTTGGTTAAGAATTCTATTCAAATCAGCAAACGAAAACATTCTGTTACGTCTCGATTCATTTGAGAAGCCATATAAACAACTCGAGCTCGTGTCTCACCGGGATATCCAAACACTCGAAAACAATGTATGAAAACACTCGCGCTTCGCGCTCGTGTTCTCATACATTGTCATTTTCTCGTGTTTGGATATCCCGGTGAAACACTCGCTCTCGTTGTTCATATATTACATCAAAACCAGTAATAAATAAATGTAACTATACGTTCTTGCTTCTTGACATGCAAAAAAGATCTAAATATAATTACATTCGAAGGTCTGCAGGTGAAGCTGTTTTACGCACACAAGTCACAAGGGAATCCATGCAAGGTGATTAAAAAGTTGTACGCTGTTAATGCTCTGGTATCTGTGTCTAATATTACACGTCTCTGTCTAATGTCATGATTGTCTAAAGTCATATGATACTTTACTCTGCTTAACACCAGACAATTTTACTCATCAAGGGGAGTGTTTTTAGCATTAATGAGTTAAAGGCACACTGTCACCTGCTGAGTGATGTGATTTAGTCAGAGTCAAGTGACTTAACTTTTTTTGTTCAGAAAAAAACCATTGAACAGCAGCGTAGGGCACATTAGGGTGAATGCAACTTAATGGGTACAGTTCTCATATGAGAGTAATAAATAAAAATATAATTTAACCCTGTCATATGATAGTCACATCAGGGGCGTCGGAGCAGCTCTAAAAGTGTGTGGGGGGGGGGGGCTTCGGCATGCCCCCAGAAAAATTTTAAATCTACACACATTTTAAATCTTGTAATATCTACACACATAACTGAAATAATATCAATTAAAGGTGATGTAAAGTCCATAATGTAAACAAACGCTTTGTTTACATTTTGAACTCAGTGCTACAGTTGTAAAATATGATTAGACATATATTATACTGAATTTTTAACACTCTTCCGGTTCGCTATGCTTGTAAATGAATGCAGACTAGAGATTCAATTCAAGAAAGTTCGGAAGGTGCGAAATATTAACAACATTCCAAAGGTTGCTCCCCTACTGATGGAATGTGTTGATGTGCAGAATATATGCGCAGAACGGACTTTACAGCATCTTTAACTTTGTGGTTTATTATTGACCATTGTTAAAAAATGGGGGGCCCCAAAGACATTTAGGTCCCCCAACTAAAAAAGTGGGGGACCGGACCCCCTCCACTTCCGATGCCCCTGGGTCACATTGTGGTTGTTGAAGAAAGTGGGTGCGACTCAAACTTAACTCTTCTGAAATCATAAGTCTCTGATGGTAAAATAACTCTTTGATCGCAGCACCAATGCAATAGTATATCAGCCTATTGTATGATGTATATCTAGAAATAACAGGTGTCAAACAAGCAATCAAATTATTTAATCAATTCTCCCAAACAAAATACATAATTAACTAAAACTATTTCTAACCAAATATACATATATGCAAGAGGAACTAGAGCTTAATTACCCTATAATATGTAGTACCCCGCCCTAATTTAAAGAAAATTTATAGTGTCACCATAAAAATTAAAATATACCTATATATTTTACAACTACTTTATGGTTTCAAAAAGTTGCAATTTGTGTTATGGGTCAAAAGTGACAGCGACATTTTTTACAATAAAACAAGTGACAATTAAGCACTTCAGCAACATTCCGATAGTCACTTTGGCTATAAAGCCTTGTTTTCAACTTTTCATGTAGGTGATATTAGTTAAATACGAAAAATATGAAATTTCTGAAAAAATGGGGTGCTCGCTTTTTTGTCCGCTTAGCCATGGCTATTGTCTCACGCATGAAGTCGAGGCCAACGTGACCGCACCTTTAATTTATAGTTTGCATCATCATTGCATTACGTAAATCGGTATAAATAGACGCCATATTTGTGACTTAAACTTTGATAAAATTATCTTTTTGGATTTTAAAAAAGCTATTAGAGGTATTAAAACTTACTTACATTTTGGTAGTATTCGTATTCTGTTTCTTCCTCAAGTTATTTGTGGTGTATAAACCGTTTCTTCGCTGTAGTTTCGTTTCCGACATTTTTAAATTTTAATATGTAAACTCTTTATCTTCGAAAGCTTGTAGTTGTTTGAAATAATCAAGGCTGTTTGCAAAGGAGACAAGAACAGATAAGAAACATGAGCGATAATGATAAACCATTTGCTTGTAAAGTCCCGGGATGTGGTCAGGTATGTACAGAACTCGAAATTCTTTTAACAAAACATAGACTATGGCAGCATGCTTTGTAAAGATGAGGTCATTTTGTAGCGTTAAACTGACGTCAGTCTAACACTAAACTCTTATGTAATGTCGATTGAATTTCTTGGCTGCTTTTCATAGACATTCACGAACAATGATCGTCTCATGATACATCGCCAAACTCATTCATTGAGAGTGAAAATCGGCAAGAAAGGCGAAGAGAGCATACCCGGTAAGATGACGCTGCTAAATATTACTATCCATTTTGTCTTCGAATTGTTCGATTTTAGAAAATATATCATATCCATATAAAGTTTTTGCCCAGGCTTAGATATATAGTATAAAACGTCAGATATATAATAATATCATGTTCTCTTTAATACACTGTATATTATAATCTGAATCAAATACTGTATATGAAACATATAAAACAAGTTTACATGAACATAATTTATAAGGTGTGTAAATTAAAGCGTATTAAAAATGTGTGTAAAAGGTATGTGTAGGAATCGATTGACCAGCTCTGAAGCCCATCCACACATATATTTCATTCCGTAATCACAGCCGAACCCAACCCGTTATTGGCTACTCAATAACTTTTCCAAAGATTAATGTCGGTTTTCCTCCCGGTTATTTTGTAGTTGCAGATTCATTAGTTCAGCAGATCCATTCAGTAGAAGCAATATGGTCATGATAGAGTGACGTAGCATGTAGTACAATCTAGGGGCCAAAAAGTTCTGGCCAGAGCCAGATTCAATCTTTCAACCGGTTGTTGAAAGAAATCTGGCCAGAGAAGCTCCAGTCAGCAACTGAAACTGAGTTTACAGTATATAACAGTGGCAGCATTAGCTCTCGGCCCCTTCATAAGTAAAATCACCTGGCGTTAGACAGAGTAAAATAATAAAGTAGAGCACATTGCCACAATACATATATTACTTTGTTTGTATGTCAGTCAGGCTTACACTTTAAATTAAATTGTGAAGGATATACCTTAAAAAGTTAAATTATAGTCTGACCAATGTATGGTACAATATTTTGTAATACTGATACATCATGATATTTTGTGCACTCATGATGATCATATTGAACATATATTCATATGGAGCATGAATATTGTGTAATTGAGTTGAGTTTAATTAGAGTTGAGTGTAGTCAAACATATGCGCCCTAGCTGTAGGCCGAGGCCAGCCAACTCATACAATTTTCTTGTGTGTCACACAATTTTACCTAAACCTTAAGTTCTGATAGGTTAGTTTTCATTTCACAATTTCTAAAGAATATGATTGGATCTCCAAGGTTTTATCACCTCATATGAAAGATAAGATTCATTGTCCATTTTTGACAAGCTTGCCAGGCTATTCAAGCTGTTTCTCTTTATATTGAAAATAAGACTAGTACTGATCTTGATCAATGGTGTAACTTTACTTTTTTAACCACTTGTCCTCAGGGCAAGCTGAACATGAAAGTTAGTTGCCCTGAATAAAATTCACTTGCCATCAGACAATGGCCACTGGGGTATACTTAGGTAGGGGGTATAAATTAAGTGGACAACATGTCAACCCCTTATCCCACTGCTCTGTATGGCTATGTTATACTGCCTCAGATCTTAGCTCTGGCCAACAAAAAAAATTGAATCAAGTACATGCACTATAAAAAATTTATCCGACAATGGTGCCCAGTTTTTTGTGGCATTAGGCAACTTGCCCAATTGGGCAAGCAAGATAAAACATTTACTTGCCCATCATGATATTCACATGCCCAGGGCACACCTCTATTGATATTGAAAGTAATACTGATATTGGCTACACGAACGAACTTCAGGCAGCCATTTTTTGTGCATGATACTAACTAAAACCAAGTATCATTGACACATTTGTTTAAGGGTCAAGAAATGCCTAATTCTTGCATTTTAATAACAGTAACATTTATTGTCCAGACAAAAGGCATGTAATACTATACACATTTTGAGATGCATGTTAAGCTCACATGATTGTTCAAGCACGTCTCCTGGCAAGGCCTCCAATGCATTCAAATATTTGATTGATGATCACTAAGGGTTCTGTTGCACACTTAGTACAATGTGATCCAAACATTTAAATTTGAACAGATCAGAACAGTTCAGTTGAACATTAAAATGGAATTTAAAACCTACATTGTGACTGTGCAATAACTATGACTGTACACTTGGAAACCTGCTGCAACCAAAAGAAGCTTTACAATCCTTATGTCAGATGTTTTCATTGTCCTTATGTAAAGTTGTATGCAATATTCTCTAGATCAAACTCCAACCCCAACAAGATTTTTAAGAAACTGTGATGAAGAAGGATTGTTCGAAGAACTGGGTGAAAATGATGACAATCCTTTTGATAAAGTATGTACTAACAAGTTGTAACCTCATACCCAGGCTTTTTCCTCTACACTTTTAGCATTGCAGGACTACTTAAATATATAAGTAAACATAATTTAGAGTATAGAAGTTTACACTGATTGTCAATGTTGAGAAGTGTATTTTTTTTTAGGATTTTAAATTGGCAACAAATCAGCCGTCACATGAAAAGAAGGTACCTGTATTTTGATTATTAAAAGTCAAACCTGACCATTTACAGTAATTAAATCATCTATTAAGCCTCCTCTATTTACCTTTTCAGGGGAATTTATTAACCCTACCTCTCTCTATTAACAGGGCCCTGAAATGGCAGTATCCCTATATCCACAGGATACTAAGGGACCGTTCATTATTTATGCCTCAGGGGGGCACCGAAGAGAAATGGGGTGGGTAACCAATAATTTGGTATGTAGAAAGGGTGGGTAAAGGAAAAATTAGCCTTTACTGAATAGGAACCCTGTGGCATGTGTCCTTTATTTGAATTTTTCAAACTAATTTCTTTACTTGAGTAAAAATAGTTTTGGAATTCAATGTTCATGTGTATTTATCAAACATTAGTAGTTTACATATGAAAAACAAGCTGTTTATAACCATACAAATCTTGAGTTGCATAAGGGTTGGGTAAAAGAAAATAATACTTCGAAAATGGTTGGGTAATTAAAAAAAGTAGCCAGTTTTTATTTCTCTTCGGTGCCCCCCTGAGGCATAAATAATGCGGTATATCATGAACGGTCCCTAAGATTTGGTTTTGGATACCAAACTGTGAATGACTTGTACCCCAACAGGATATTACAAAATTTCACACAATAGGTTAAATTAATGCTAAATGACTTGTCTCTAGTGTTCTCCCAATAGCTTTGAATACTATGAGACTATGAGTCTGCCTTCTTGAAAATAACCTGCCTTTGATTTGGCATAAAAAAAAATACCTGTGGTTCCGGTTCCCGACCGACCCTATTTTTTTTGCCGACCCTATTATTTTTTCAACGCAATTGACCGTGCGACCCTATTTTCTCCAGGTGGTTGCGGGCTGCTCATGCAGCGTGCCAATTTAATGGCGTCTGTTGTCACACTAATTATTGAACCAAATTGCCTAAATTCGTCCATCCTATTGATGTCGGGACTCTACTGCAAATCACCCAGCAAAACACGGCAAAACCATGAAAAAAAATATATATATTTCCGACCTACCGACCCTAATTTTTTCACGATATGAAACCGGAACCACAGGTATTTTTTTTACGCCTTTCCAACTCACAGTGTTACTAGTTGTTGAGTTGTTACTAACCAGTGTTATTAGTTGACTATTGAGTCTCCTGTTATTATAATTGTAATTTATAACAATGCTAGACATGTAGTGTATACTTATTTGGGTGGCTCATGGATGCCAAAATATATGGTAACCAGTAGTGAGTATCCAGAAGTGGGGAAGTGGGATGATCCTAAATTCTCACTTTAGATGGATTGATGCTAGAACTTTGAATCCTGGTATCCCAGTGGGGTACTGAAACAAAACTTAAATTGCAGACCCTAATTTAAATTAACCCCCCTCCCCTCTATTAACCTCTCCCGTGCAAGTAAGGAAGATTATTAATTGACATTAGTTTACTGCATTTTGTACTACATGTAACTGTGGTTTGGCTAAATCAAACCTGTACATGTATATTTGTAAATTATTATTTAAAAATTTTCATATTCTAAAGGCTGTGGAAAGTACAGTTGTCAACACACCTGTTCCAGTCACAGAATTTCCTGTGCCAAAGAAATTGTCAGTTGTCGATGTTGAGACACACCATGGCGATGCTGGTGTTACTGCTCCTCCTGCTATTCGAACAGTTGAAATTGATGGACGTGCTGGTGCAATTCCCAATGCCACTGACTTCTTACGTCAAACTGCACAGGCATCTGAGCAAGTACAAGGTGCATGAAATAATATGCTTTTCTAATATACATAGTACTAGACAGTGTATTATCTTTTATGAGAAACTAATTTACACATTTTAGTAATTTAATTTATTAGTATCATGTTGTATCACCTCCAAGATGAATATAAAAATATTTCAGTACTTAGCTGAATAAAATTTTAGTTACATCCTCTTGGGTTGAGGTCAGGCACAAGAAGTTATATTGTACAGATACCTCTAATAGAGTCTGTAATACATATCTAAGTATGTTTATATACAGTTTAATTATATACAGAAGATCACCGTTCAAGACAATGAAACTACACACTAACACCACTGAGCGAAATGTTGGGTTGCAAATATGAGTTGCCATTGTATTCTCGCTCTTAAAACTAACAGCTTACAAATCGTAAAGTCCTTAAAACATTTTGTCTTAAATTAATATAAATTTGGTTAAATAATATAGCCTGGCAAGGATTTCAAGCCTTGTTATACAATCCTGAACACTAGGTGCCAGTGTAAGTAGCAAATTTATGATTCAAACTGCGAGTATAGTCTGTAAGAAGTGTATAGTGAGTATAGTCTGTAAGAAGTGGATAGTGAGTATAGTCTGTAAGAAGTGTATAGTGAGTATAGTCTGTAAGAAGTGTATAGTGAGTATAGTCTGTAAGAAGTGTATAGTGAGTATAGTCTGTAAGAAGTGTATAGTGTGTATAGTCTGTAAGAAGTGCATGTATAGTGAGTATAGTCTGTAAGAAGTGTATAGTGAGTATAGTCTGTAAGAAGTAGAGGTGTGCAAATCGGATTCGTTCGGATTTCGGAACAAAAATATTCATTTCGGATTGGATCGGATTGATAAAGTTGTTTCGTAGTCGGATCGGATCGGACTTCGATATTCGAAATAAAATTATCAACGACAGAAACAAAACATTAGTAGAAGACTATGTATTTCTTGCTTTTATATTTATTTGGTTAAATAATTCCACTTGAATGAGAAATTTATTTTATTAAAGGATTCTTCACATCGGATTGGAATTCTTTATCAAATTTCGGATCGGATTCGGATTATACAATACCGGATTGGATTTTAAACATTTGCCAATTGTCGGATTATAAACGTCCGATCCGATGCACACCTCTAGTAAGAAGATTCAACTACTTGTTCTTTTAGTAATTTTGAAAACTAGCAGTTTGTAGTACAACCTCGAAAGCCAGGGTCTTTAGCCCTCGCGGAGGTATAAAGACCCTGGCTTGCGAGGTTGTCTGTAGTATAGATTGGGCCAGTAATTTCAAATATATTTTATTTGTAGATACAAAGATCACAGTAAAATCTCCCACTGTCTCAGTTTTGGTTGCAAGAAATGTGAATAGTCGTAAGGCTATCCCAGCATTTATTGCTCATCCTGGTAATGCCGTACCAAAGGCCACTCCTGCGCCACTAACAGTAGTGAGCAATGCAGGCAATGTACAGTCAATCCAGACACGAGCTATTGTCGTCACACCAACTGGAACTGGGAAATCTGCATCCTTTGTCAAAAGTGCAAAACAGGTATTAAATACAATATGTGAAGGCCAATAAAAGGTACAGTTACACGTTTCAAGACTGTAAGGAAGTCATGTGATCGTTGCCAAAAGTAGAACTCACTTCAAGGAAATACCCTACTACGCTCGAGCCAAACTAACATACTTAACTCTGCGGTAGGGGGTACCCCGCCATCCGTATCTGCCACCGGTGCTTCCCAATAGGCAATAGACCTTTCTCCCTTTGAGTGAAATTTTGATCTAGACAAATCTGGACAAAAATTTCATTACAGCTTGAAAGAGCATCACAAAATTAGTAATATTCCGAAGTTTCGTTGCGAAATGTTGTAAAATGCGGATAATATAGCCTTGCGAAGTTTGCCATTTTTCAGTCATTTGGTATTACAAACGGGAAATTGATAATCAGATGATCAAACTGATGCAAAATCTTAGATTGTAATGCAAAATGACTGAAAAACGGCAAACTTCGCAAGGCTATATTATCCGCATTTTACAACATTTCGCAGCGAAACTTCGGAATATTACTAATTTTGTGATGCTCTTTCAAGCTGTGATGAAATTGTTGTCCAGGCATATCTAGATCAAAATTTCACTCATAAGGGGAAAGGTCTATTCCAGCTTTTAATTTATGCGTGCAGGGGGGGGGGGGTGAGAAGTAAGGTATCATATTGCTGATTATGCTGAAAAAATAAAAATGGCGGGCGTGTGAACACGAAGTGATAGCTTATACTTGTAAATGTTGAAATATTTCGGTTGTTTCGGCACTTTTTATTGAAATTTTTCAGCATAATCAGCAACATGATACCTTACTTCCCGTCATTCCCCTGCGCGCATAAATTAAAAGCTGGAATTTGCTATTCAGGGACTGGCTGTTCATTTGAAGCCAGGCTGGCCCAGTGAACTGGGATGATTCGTTTAATAAAGCTCTTATCACGGCTTTAAAAACATCCAAAATGACATTTCAAAGCTTACTTTCAAACGATCTTTTATGGTTAGGAAAAAATTTCGCGCCACGATTCATCCCGACTTGTTCGTATGAACAGCTCTTATTATACCAATTAAGGTCTAGTAAACCCACTTTTCGTTCTGTTGGTTATTGTGTCAACAGTGACAAATTCCATACACCTTCCATTCCATAGATATTAAAAGAAAGCATCCGTATTCACCAGTCGCAGGGCAAAGATGTGAAAACCGACCTTGGAAATATCATAAATCAGGCTATGGATGAAGCCGTTTCTGCTGTAAAACGACCTCCACCCAGTCCAAATTCTGAAAACGGTGATGCGTTTAAGGAGAAAGATGCAAAACCTATGTAAGTAATATCCTGATTTCTATTATATAACAATATACATAACTGGCTTTAGAGAAATACATATCATTGCATCAAATACGACCTTAAGGCTTAAGTACTATTTAAAACTGTATTCTTGTTTTAGAAAACGAAGTCGTCGATCGCAAGAAGATCTTACATCAGATGAAAAACGTGAAAAGTTCTTGGAAAGAAATAGGTTAGTGTTGTTAATGTTGTCACTAAATATATTTTGCATTCCGTGTCCAAAATATTGGAGTGCGAATTGAGGTTGCCAATATTTTTCTAACCCATGACCACAGTATGTTTTAGATAATTAGTGTAAAATACTTGGAATTAGTCTTCCGGTCAAGGACGACTATTGAGCTACGAAGTTATTATACCAAGTTATTGCTGGTTGTCCTCTCGTCCGCTTACCTTTATGCCAACTAAAACCTGCCTCTCCATAGGCCCTGTTGCACCATGGGAAGTGACCTTCCCATGAGGCATGAGGGCCTGTGGAAGTGGCTGAATTAAAACAGCTATGAGTTTACCTATAGTTGTACTATTAACTGTTCCAATCTCAGAATCCGAATCTCTGCGTGCAGAGAATCCGAATTTCTGCGTGCGTTTACATCTCTTGATGTCGTGCTTGTTCAAAGACCAATAATTATTTTACTATACGGTTGGTGAGATAACCTACCTGTACAAGTATTCATTTATCTCAACAACGAAGCGAGAAAAACTAAAATAAACGTAGGATTACTTTCCATAGATTTATTTTGCGGAAAGACGTCGGAAGGATTATCTTCACTTTACGCTAATTAAATTAAATCAGTGGTGGATCCAGCAAAGTTGGTTTTTTTTTGGGGGGGGGTGCTAACCAATGGAGAAACAAGCGCCGAAGGCGCGAGATTTCTAGGGTGGTCCGGGGCATACTCCCCCGGAAAATTTTTAAAATTTGGGTCTCTGAAATGGCATTTCCAGCATTCTGAGAAAACATTTTGGAAAATTTCTAGATTCTCAAAACATTTAAAAATTCAGAATATTTAATATTGGCTATTCCGCTATTGTCAACTAGTGATACGCAACTGAATTCCTTAACATAAGTTGTTTAGAATTAGGATAAACATCATTTTTGCAACCCCCCCCCCCCATGCACCCCTGTTGACCAGAGCCTGGGGGTGCGCACCCCCTAAATCCACCACTGAATTAAATCATGACTTTTTAGAGCGGCAGCGACTCGCTGTAGAGAAAAACGGAAAATGTGGATTCACGCTTTAGAAAAGAAAGCAGAAGAAATGTCGGATGTGAACGGCCAATTACAGGTCAGTGATGACTTTTGCCCCACTGCAAGCAATGTGTAAGGCTTTGCCCAGGAATGAATTAAGCTCCGATAAATAGAGGATATTACACGGCGGCGCGAAGGATACAACTTTTATCTTCGAGTGGTGAAAACAATATTTTACGAAAGACCGCAGCGAGTGAGTAAAATATTGTTTTTAACACGAGAAGGTAAAGGTCATGTCTTCAAGCCACCGTGCATGTAATGTTCTGTTTATTATATAGTCCCAAGCAAAAAATTGTGAAATTTCACGCTCAAAAGCAAATTGGATAAAGTCACGTGATCGATATCTTCACTAGTGAAGATATGGAAAATATCTCACTGTCTATTTTTCAGTATCTCACTCTCTATTATAGTGATATAATAATTCGATTTATGAACTTACATATCGATAATTCGACCTAAGAAAATGCGTATTTCATATTTTAAATTTTCTTGTAGAATGAGATTTCTTACCTTAAACACGAAGTAGCCCAACTGAAAGGTTTGCTCCTGGCTCACCGAGATTGTCCGCTATCAATCAACCAACAAAAAACCAATCCAGGATTATTTGAACAACTGGCGGCTGGCAATCCTGTTGTCATAGATGTCACGGGTAGTGAGCAACAAACCGCTGAAGCCCTCGCTCAAATGGCAGAACGAGCAACAATGGAGTGTAATATATAACGAACATTCAACGTGCTGTACTGTAGATAGCTGCAAATATTTCATCATAGAAACCGTATATACTGTACATATGCATGTATCTGCAAAATCGTCTGGAATTTTAAATCCTTGTCTATAATTCAGACCATCGCGCATTATTGTATATATCTTGCACTAACAAACCACTACTTTATATACCGATTTATACAGACACTATACCTGACCGCTTTAATTAAGCCTGGTTCTCACTACCAATTTTGTTCCCGATTTTGTGTTTCTGACGAATGCAAATGAGTGAACTCGTACACAAAAGTATAGAGTCCGCTGTTCAGAAGTAAACAATTCTAAGTCTTTTGCATGTCATTAACTTGATCACATTTGCCAGGAGAAAAATCGCCGACAGAATTAGCCTTTCTCACGAAGGTCTAAATCCACCATTTTTGGGTACTATTTTATAAACAACGTGAAAAATCTAAGCATGTGAAAATAATTTTTCAAATATTTAACTGTAAATCGATTTATAATGATTATATTTACAAGTTATAACTATAGTTATAGAAAGTTTCATTTTCACTGCTTACTATCCCTGCTCTAAAAAGGTTGCCTCCCAAAAATGGCGGCGTGAGAAAGGCTATACTGTAATTGCAAAACATAAGCATGCAATTACGTCTTTCAGAAACTAAGGACTGGCGAGGACTGGCTTACTCAAAGAATAAACAAACGAAGAAAGACGTTCTGGACCAACAAACATTCAACGATGATAATTTATGATGCATGCATGAGGTTATTTTTATAGCACAACGCTTTGCAGCACTGTACCTATTTTAATATTAAAATTAAAGTTTGGACACAGCTTACCTACAACTATTACAATGGTTAACCACTGGATAAATGTACGGTATATATGGCATCATATATGTTTTGTAAATACTACAAATTATAAAGTAAATTAAATATTATATACTGCAATAAAATAATGCGAAATTGCTGCACTTGCTGTAGTTGTAGTGAACATGCATATATACAAACCTTTCTAGGACTAATCGTGGACTGATGGTGCATTTCTTTCAAAACTTAGCATATCTTACGACATAGAAGAATGTAGCAGCTCTGATAATGTGCAAAGTCTCAATTCCCAACTATATAGGTACCATATACATGACAATTAACAACAGCTTGCATTCTACTTTTCAGTATCTACATGTAATTCGTTCACTTACAGTCGAACATGTATATATTATACATGCATATTTCTCATCTATGAACAATTTTCTGTATTCTTGTACAGCATGCTTTCGGTTTTGTCCAAATAAAACATTCAATTGATTGGTTTCAGTATTTTAATCCTGATAAAACCAAGGTATTTTTGATAAATGTACCATGCCATCTATACAGGGTGTCTCAAAAAAACCGCTATACAGGGTGTATCAATAAAAACGCAACCTCGGAATTTCCTAAGAAATCACTTTGCAATTCTTAAGCATAAAAGATTTTAGGCCCCTGGGAATTGAAATCGAATTGCTAATAGATCATATTACTGTTGTTGTGCATTAAATAAATGCATAAATTTTGCTTTATGCACTCGCGTGTGCAGTACTTTTGACAGTTATGCTATTTTAAATTCCCAGGCGCCTAAAATCTTTTGTCTTTAAAACAATGTCGATTTCTTGGGAAATTCCGAGGTTGCGCTTTTTTTGATACACCCTGTATATGGAAATTCAACAGGCTGTCGTGCATCATAAACTAGCTAAACAATTCAATGTTTACATATGACGAAAGAACAGTTATTTTTTAGTTTTTTAATGATACTCTTTCAGTGGCGTAGCCAGAACGATAATTGGGGGGGGGCATATTCATATATTCGTGTTCTGCTTTATTAATTTCTTTTGAAATCAATTGTTGTTATGGTATGTGAACAGGAATATATGAATATGCCCCCCCCCCCAATTATCGTTCCACTAGTCTTTTTAAATCGTAACGATGAGAAATGGCCACATACTCGTCCAATAAAAATTACCGGTTGAAATCACATTCTTCCACCGTTGGGAATTGCATGGAAAACGAAACAGACAATTCCCAAGAGGGAATTATTAAAATTGAATGTTAAATTGTCTAAAATGAGCTCAACTCGTCAATCTTCGAATAGTGAGACGATAAGAACGTTTAATGAAACATGGTTCAATTAACCACTGAACATTCGTAATCAAAAGTTTAGGAAACAAATAGCTTGCAGCAGACTCGCATAGCTTTTGCATTGATTAACTTTGCATAATTAATGTATTTTCAATTCCCAACGGTGGGAGAATGTGATTTGCACTTATTTCGACCGGTGTCCCAGGATTTTCGCCCCCCC